ACCGGGGCGCCGCCACAGAGGAAACCTCCGTAACAAGTTCTTAAACGTGTGTGTCTGTATATACATACAGATGTGTATGTATAGAACACCTGCCTGGCGGCGGCTCCCCGGTCCCCGCCGTCCCCGGGTGCCGCAGGGGGGTCCCGGCGGGCCATGCTCCAGAAAAGGGGTTTCTTGCCAGGCCTGTCACCGGTGCTGCAGGAGCGCCCCAAAGCGGGAGGTTCTCGTAGGCCCTCTTGGTCCCTCTCGGCTGAATCGATTTCCCCCCAGCCTGTGGCTTGGATTATTCCTTAAATCAGGAAATGTGTGTGGTGGTGGCATCCTAACTGGCTCCTCAAGAGTGGCCAGGACACCGTGACATTTCCTCGCTGTTCTACAACATGCACTTTTCAAATACTTTTTTTCTTCTTCATTACTTTTAATTGCGGCCTCTGTTTCCAAAATCGAAACAAGGTGGAGGGTCATCTTCGAATTAACTCCCTTAACTTGGGATGCAGAATTCCCTATCTTGCTGCACTCAGGAAGGCATGACTACTAATTTAAATTTTATTAACATTGCAGATGTAGAAAACACTTATTCTGTTCTTTAATGCAATCCTACGTATTGTACACTTAGACTGACACATCAATTTTAGTAACTCTGGCTCCTTTTTTTAACTTGGGAAGCTAACATTAACACTTGCTCAGGTGTCTTGCCCCCCTTTTTTAAAAAAATGGTTAGTACCTTTAAGTGGTAATTTGGTAAGGATTGTTGATATTCAGGTGCCTGAATATATGTTTAAGTTAAAAGTATAACTTATACTACTGTCTTAAGCCCTCAAAAATGCCTTTGATGTGTTCTAATAGTACAAAAATTCTGTGCAAAAACTATTTGAGGTGTGATAAATTACCTTTTTCAGGATCAAAGCCGTTTCCTCGCTATGGATATAAACCGTCACCACCAAATGGTTGTGGATCCCCTTTATTTGGAGTTCAGGTAACTATTTCCATTTTGGGACTTCTTTGTGTGTCTTTCATACATCAACTCACCTCGATGTGGGTGGTTTTCTCCCTCCCCCTTTCTAAGGATGAGACAGCATCCGTGTACAGTGTCCCTGCTTTTATCAGCTCCAGTACATGCTTTGGTGACAACATAGGGAAAACTTTAGTATTATAAATGAACATAGCATAAGCATTTTCATCATTGACATAAAATATTATAGGGATAAAATGGAATGTTGATGATTCATTTCTAATTTTTTAATGTTTGGTTTAGTATTTTGTTCTCACGATCTTGAAAGTGTTGAATAACCCTAACTATAGCCCTGTGAGAGCAGTGGCTTTGGCTGTGACTGTTGCTCTCCTTATTGACGCTAAATCTGTTTTCCTTAATGCTAGAAAGAAAATATGGCTTAGTTTATAAACTGGGTCTGGCTGGGATGGAGTTAACTTTCTTCATAGCAGGCTGCATGGTGCTGTGTTTGAGATTTTGGGCTAACACAGCTTTGGGACTTTATCTTTTTTCCCCACTCTGCCCATCCACCACCCCAGAGCGTCAGCTGGGGCTGGGCAGAGGTTGGGAGGGGACACAGCTGGGGCAGCTGAACTGAACTGGCCAGAGGGATATTCCGTACTTACAATAATCATGCTCAGCAATAAAAGCGGGAGTAGTGGAAGAAGGGAGGGTGGTAGTGTGTATGTTTGGCTTCTAAGGTGGCTGTTGCTCAGACTGGCTGGGCATCCAGCTGCTTGTGGGGCATGGTGAATGATTGCTTTTGCACTGCTTATTTTGGCGCATCTTTTTCCTCTTTCATTCATCTATTTAACTGTCTTTACCTTGACCCACAAGTTCTCTTGCTTTTGCTCTTCCTTTCTCTCCTCCATTCTGTGGAGTGGGGTGGGGGGTGAGGAAGCAACTCTGTGGGTGCTTGGCTGCTGGCTGGGGCCAAACCACCACAGCTTTCTAGAGGTGAATAGCAAAATAGAAAGGTAAGTGAATGGCAGGTAGATTGATTGCATTAGTTTTCAATTTCTAACCGTTACAGTCTATTCATAGGCTATATCTTTCTTAACTGGGATACCAACGGAGTGTGCGTGGGGGGATTTTCTTCACAGTTTGACATTGGTATCCCTTCAATGACAAAGTGCTGCAATCAACACGACAGATGCTATGATACTTGTGGCAATAAAAAAAATGATTGTGACGAGCAGTTTCAGTCCTGCCTCTCCAAAATTTGCAGAGATGTGCAGAAAACGCTTGGAATCTCAGAGAGCGTCCAGGGTGAGTGTGAAAAAGCCTTTCTTTTTTTTTCAAGTTTAAACGAGCTTATTTGGCAAAGAATCTTTGTGCAGCACAGTAATGTCACGTTTTCATAAGCTGATGCCTTGTTCTGTCCCTCTGTCATAGAGCCCAGACACTTGTACAGCAGAGCAATGACACAGCATAGGAAAGTGATTAGGGTTAAAACTAACCTTGAGTGGAAAAAATAATGCTCCCCATTTAGGAGTATGAATATGGGAATACAGCTTGATCAAAATGCATGTATAATTCTTGACTTTACTGCAGCATAGCTGAATATTCACTGTTCTGCTGGGTGATTTCTAAATGTCTACTATGTGTGATTGCTAGTAAACTGTAGAAAAATACTGAATTGTTTCCTTTTATGAAATAAAGATACTGGAATAATACATTGTCATAGCAGAAGTAGTTAATGCTATCCCTTTGTGAATAAATTTTAGGTTATTTAGTAACAGACCATATGATACTCCTGGTTGTTGGCCTGCATCTGATGAATACATGACATAACCACACTTTTTAACTTGGACAACTTTTACAGTAAGCAGTCCCACTGAGAGCCACAAGTTTTTCAAACAAGCCTGTGTTTGAACTTTGCAAATTCATTTCACTGCAAATAAGTCATCATGTTAGTAGTGTCAGAACTAGGGAATATTTGTTCAGTTCTGTTGAGCTGCTGTTAAAGACAGCAACCTCTGCATAAACTGGGAGGCAAAAAGTGGGAGAGTAAACCAGCTCTTTTCATCTTTCTAAGACTAAGTGATGTTTCTAACACTGATAACATTCCATATGCAATGAATTTTCTTGTTTGTTTTGTTTGGCATATGAAAAACTTTAACTCAACTTAATTGATTCTGTATTGGTTCAGTCTTTCATTTGACAATCTATTTGCTATGCCCAGACAAGATTGCTTCTTTCTTAGAATTATTCAGAGTTTGACAGAATAATTTCTGTTACGTTTCATATTCCATTCAAAGAGTACTTTTAACTGAACTCCTCTTCACTTGCAGCTTGTGAATCAACTGTTCAGCTGTTGTTTGATGCGGTTATACATTTAGGATGTAAACCATACCTGGATAGCCAGAGAGCTGCATGTATGTGTCATTATGAGGATAAGACAGATCTCTGAAAGAAGATACTGAGATATCATGGTGTAGAATAAATTCAAAGACCCAGCTGGAATGAAGCAAGTGTTTGGTTACAAAGCTTTATGCTTTTCAGACAATAATATAACCACTGACATGAATACACTGGTTTGAAAGTCACTATGATATTCTTCCTAATGTATAAAAGAAACAAATATTCCTTCTCTCCCTTTATGCCAGAAGCTTGGAAACTGAAATTAGTTTCCTTTGGTGTATGTCCACTCAGGGTATGCTATCGAAAAACACTAGTGCCATTTTAAAGTTTTTAAGAAAACCCCATAATGAGGAAATCGGAGGCACAGAAGAGTTGTATTGAATTCTCAGATGATTTTTAATGTAGGTCAAATTTTAGATTTACTAGCAGTTGATCCATCTGATAGACTCAACAGGAAAGAGTATTTTGTGTGTGTTAATATGGCATCTTAAATAGCCTGTACTTTCATGCTTGTGGTACAGTTGCTTTCAGTTCTCTCTGGATGTGATCCCATGGGTTTGTTTTTAAAAAAACAACAAACAAAAACCCCCAAGCAAGGGTATACATCTGCACTACATATTTCTACCCGATTCTCTATCAGCCTTTTGCAGCGCTTTTCAGATCACATATGTTGATCCTGTTAAGGCTTGACCACTAAAATGAACAGTTTGCAACCTAAGGATATACTTCTGATTTGAAAAAATGGTGGAATGTAGTTGCTATGTTATTTTTAAAATGAATGTTTATTTTTCAAATAAAACATTTTGTGTTGTGTATTATATGCATAGAAAGGATATATTGTTCAAATAAGTTGATTTATATGTCCTGTGGCACAACTTGGTTACTGTATTCATCTTTGCTTTCATTTAGCCTGTTCTGATGAAAACTAAAAGTTCCACAGTTAGGGTCAGTATGCCCAACAAACCTTTTTATTTAAAATGCCCTCTGTGAGGCTGACAGATATTTAAGCCTGTATTTCTGTCATCTGTTCCCACGACATCTGTGAGGCTGAGAAACATCTGAGCCTGTACTTCTGTCATCTGTTCCCTCTCTGACTCCTCTAGATGAAATCACCTGATATCTGAATTATGTGAGGTTTGTTCTCTGTACTGATCTTTCATTGCTTATCTCCAGTTTTCTTCCTTAGTTAACTTTTGCATTAGGTCCTCTGTCAGATTTGCTCACTTGCTGCCCTGATTCTGCCTTAGAAAACCACAGGAAGACTGAAAATTAAAATACTGCATCTGTGAACAGGGAATGGAAATTGTGCTAAAAGCCTGTTGTTTACCAGACTCGTGGACTATAATGTGATCTCTCCTCTGGAAGTACTTTTATATGTTTTTTTTCTTTACTAGTTGTTTGTGTTATTTTTGTTATGTTTTTCACTAAAGTTTACCATTCATGACAGTGAATCTAAGTGCCTCACAGAATAAAGTTCCTGCTAAAGTTCTTTGCCCATGCTTCATGTTTTTATATTTATAGATATGAAGTAGCGCTGCAAGAGAAGTATTACTATAGAGTTTTACAAAACCATGCCTGGAGAACTTGTTGTTCCTCTAAATTTGATGAAATTTATTTTCTGCCATAGAATTGAAACAACTTTGAATTACCCTGGAATTCCATGGTTGGAACCCTAAAAGTCTTTTAGCACCAATGCAGGGAATGGTAACAGCATTGCTTGCTTAAAATAAAGTACCACAGTGAGTCCAGAACACTATAATTCAATGAGATGGCTGTTGAGTTGTGTAGAAACAAGCTTAAACTAAATGCTGAAATGAACACATAAAATTTTCACTGTTGGAAAATTTCACTGTTGTTCTGTTCCTTTCTGTACTGACCTGTAATTATACCATGAAAGCCTTCCAGACTTTCCTTCAGACCATTTATAACACTAAAAAGAGCTTTAACACTGCTGAAGAACTTTGATGGTTCTGCTTGCAAACCAGAGGAAGCATTTGACTTCTTCTAGGGTGTCTTTACTTAGCGTAAGCTTTTTCTGTAGCAGAAATCTTTGATTATAGTTATCTGCAAACTATACAAAATGCATTACAGGCCACAGCCCCAAAATGAAGGCTAGCTATCAGCCCCAGGATTAATCATACCATTTAGCAACTCATATATGTATATATATATATGTTAAAAATATAGTACTTGTCTTGGTTTTGGTTGGAATAGAGTTAATTTTCTTCCTAGAAGCTGGTATAGTGCTGTGTTTTGATTTAGGTTGAGAATAACATTGATAACACACTGATTTTTAGTTGTTGCTGAGCAGTGCTTACACTAAGTCAAGGACTTTTCAGCTTCTCAGACTGCCCTGCCAGTGAGGAGGCTGGGGGTGCACAAGAAGCTGGGAGGGGACACAGCCAGGACAGCTGACCCCAACTGACCAAAGGGATATTCCCTGCTGTGTGATGTCATGCTGAACAATAAAACTGGGAGGAGTTGGCCAGGAGGTGCCAGCCCGCTGCTCAAGGACTGGCTGGGCATCAGTCAGTGGGTGGTGAGCAATTGCATTGTGCATCACTTGTTTTGTATTTTTTTTTAATTAGTTTCCCTTCCTTTTCTGTCCTATTAAACTGTCTTTATCTCAACCCATGAGTTTTCCCTTTTTTCTGATCCTATCTCCCATCCCACTGTGGGGGAGTAAGCGAACGGCTGTGTGGTGTTTTGCTGCCTGCTGGGTTAAACCACAACAATACCACGTATAGCAGCTCTTGGCATTTGACTCAGTACTGCCTGCTTTTATGCAGTCAGTAATACTCTTTAAATATTGCAGTGAATTTATTTTTTTTTTACAGGTTAAAGTCTTAATACAGTTGCCTTCCTCAGGTTGTTTTGCTTTTCTGAATGATCTGAATAACAGCAGTGTGTCCACAACCAAACTTCCTTCTTCAAACTGCAGTTCTGATACATCCAAAATGCTTTTTCCAAAAATACCCACTTATGGTGGAGCTACAGCAACAATCTGAAAGTGTTTCAAAACATGTATAACATGTTTCAAAGCAAGTATAACAAAAACTTTCATCAGCTGGAAATACACACCAGTCAAACGCTACCTTAGGGTTCATACATCCTGATCAAGTTACTGGTGATTCATCCGAACACAGTGGCTGACCAAATATGTTCTTAGCCTCCCTCAAAACAAAGTGGGAAAGATGTCTGATTGTCTTATTAGTGTCTAAGCAAACTTGGACTGAGTAACCGTTCTGACTGCTGAACAGAAAGCTCTTACAGAGTCCTTGATTTAGGTTTTACAAGCTGCTACTTCACACCAGGATTCTCACTGTCAGTGGGTTTAGGGGCAGCTCCAGCATCAGCTGAGAGATCTGGGATTTGCAGTTTGAAAAAAAATGGATCTTCTTGATAAGAGTCTAAATGTTTCACAGTGGAAGACACTAAACTCTTACAATAGTACCGTGTTCTAACTAAAGTATACACAGAGACAATGTAAACAACAGTTTTATCTTGATCTAGCTGCCTACTGGCAGTCTGAGGATAACAAATCCAAAGAAGGGGAAAACAAGCAAAAGTTTTAGAAATACCCATAGCTCCTTTAGCCAAAAGGGAGACATCTTGTCTAAAAGATTTAGTCACACAAGAAGCCTGTGTGAAAACAGGCCAAACAGACTGGATAAAAATGCCTAAAATCCCACTCTAAATCCACCTCCTTTTGTGCTTGTAGCAGCAATCTCTAAGAGCTTGTTCACACCAGCGTTTATTCTAGAGCCTGCCTAGAATAGATCCATCCACGGTACAAATCTGCAAAGCTCTTACATTGAAGGATGCTTTCAGTCATCGGCTTTGGTTTTAGAAACTGTTTCTTATGCAGTCAATCAGTGAATGTTAAGTAAAGCGCCATATAATTAAAAGGCTGGGAATATCAGCATTTGTTCAGATACCTTAGCACTCTCTTCAGTGCCTTGGTGCTCTCCTCACAGTTCACAGATCATCGAAGAGAACTGATGCAGGAATAGAGCAAAGCTGCAAAATTATCTACACCCAGACCTCTCAAGGGTTTATATGTAGGTGGCCATAGGAAAATGCATTTTGAGTAACAGCAGTCTTAGCAAAGCAAACAGTATGTGCCTTTAAAAGGACTTCTGAGAGAGTTTTGAAAAAAAATCTCAATTTAGGAAGCTCATGTTTTAGGGTCATGCCTTTGTATAGGACAGTGCAGTTGATGAAGCATGGTCACTAAAGTACACATCACAGGAATAGGTAAGACATCACAGACTTAAAAAGTACCAGGAGGCCCTTTAGGAGACGCTTTAACACATCACCCTTTAAATGTTCCTGTCAGAGTTTCGACGTAGGGCAGTCGGCCCTGCCGAGCAGGGCGCTGCCTCACCAGGCCGCACGTTGCGGCTTCACCTGCAGGGTGCGGTGGTCTCCCCGCCACGGCCTCCAGGACCCCCGCGGCCCTCACGGCAGCACTTGCCGCCGTCTCCCGCCGCGTTTCTCACAGAGGCGGCAAGGGCCGCCGGAGGAACGGGTGATAAAAGCCCTGCCCCCAGGGG